TACAATAGGGATGTCTGGGGAAAGATGGTTCAGGCAAAGTGAAAGTGAAGAGCAGCTGCAAAGATCTTGTTTAGGGGGAGCAGGAGGCGGTGGACACACCAGGTATATTTGAGGAACAACAGGGAAGCCAGTGTGGCTGGAGCAGAATGAGGCCAATAGGAGGATATTTACACAGAGGCCAGATTGTGCAGGACCTGACAGGCAATTATAAAATTTTGACTTTTATTCTGGTTGAAATGGGGAGTTATTGGAAGAGTGAGCAGAAGAGTGACACAATTTGACATATTTTTCAAAGATTACTCTGGCTACTCTGTTGAGAGTTGACTCCAGGACATAAGAGCAGAAACAGAGAAACCATTTAGGACCTATTGAAATAATTAGGCAAGAGATTATGGTGAAGTAATGGAGATGTTAAGAAATAGTTGAGATTTGCTGAACAGTTGGCTCTGGGATGTTCACTGAGAAGCAGAAGACTGAATCTGGAACAAGTTTAGAGGGGAGCAGAAATCAGCATAATTCTGGACATGTTGAGTTTGAGATGTTACTTGTACTTCCAAGTGAAAATGTCAAGTGAGCAACAAGAGCATGATCTGAATTTAAGAGAAGGGTCTACAAGACCTGATGACTGATTGAATAGACAAGGACGGTGAGAGACAGGTAGATGTCAAGTTTGCCTTCCTGATCCTTAGCTTGGTTGACAGCTGACAGGTCCACTGACTGAGATGAAAGGGTAACAGTTGGAAAGTGGAGAGGATGAAGACCTTAGTTTCTGATACATTGAATTCAAGGTACCTATGGAGTGCACAGTTGGCTACACGGATCTGCAACCAGGAGGGTGAGGATCTGAGCTGGAGACTGGAGAATCATCAGTATACAGACAGTAATAAAGGAGTAAACGAGGGAGCAGGTGTAGGTTAGTAGAAGAGCATGGAGGGCAAGACTCTGAGGACTCTTGTTCCATTTATGAGATGGAAATTGGAGAAGTTTGTAGTTAGAAAGATATGAAGGAAACCAGAAGAGTATATCATACAAGTCAAGGGGAGTGGTCTAGAAATGTGAGAACTGAGTGGAATCTTTTAGATTATCATTGGAGATCATTGGTGAGGAGGCCAGAGAAGGACCCTCCAACTGCTCCAAAGTAGACCTTGTTTCTTTGTATCATCTTTAGAGCATGGAATTGAGACTTGGGGCTTGAAAGTCATTTTCTCCTCATGAATAACAACCAGACATGCAAGCATGCATGCATGCATTCATCCATTCATTCAGCATAAGACCTTCCATGTAAAGGGATGCAAAGTACTAAAAGACATAGGCTCTGTTCTTGAAGGGCCCACAGTAGACCCCTCTCATACTCCTCCATCAGGAATAAGGAGATGAAAGTCCTGAAGCAGAGAGGCTCTCTGGTTTTATGGAAGGATCAGGGACTTGTGGGTCATATTGAAGTGGGTTTGAATCTCAGTTCTACCATTTAGAACATAATCTCTGGTGACTTTGAAATCCATAACCTCCAGCACAAACCTCCTCCCCTTTGAGTGGGGATTTCCACGGGAGTATCTAAACCAACTCAAACTTAACTTAGAACTACTGAAAATCTCCCCCACTGAAATCCAGTCCTCTCCAATTCTCTCTTTCTGGGTAAATAGCACCATCATCCAGCCTCTTGTTGAGGCCCAAATTCTAAGTTCAGAAGGATATACTATATATATCAAGATGTGCTTATCACACTATACATAGTGATAAGCATATCTTGATCCCATTCCTACCCCATTACTATTATGTGTTTATTCCTCTCCACACCATATCTAATCCATATCTAGTCCTGTTGGCTCCACTTCCAAAATATACCCCAAATCTAACAGCTTCTCACAACCAGCTTCAAGTCCAAACTCCTTACCATGACCTTGTGTGTTCTGGTCCCTACCTGGCTTCTCCCTCACCTCAGGCCTTCTTTTTGCCCTGGAACATGTCTGATCTATTGCTTCTGCATTTGTTTTTCCTTCTGACTGAAGCATTCTTTTCTCAGGTTGTCACTTGCCTGATTTCTCCTGAACATTCAGGTCTCAGCTCAAATGTTACTTTTTCCGAGAGTGCTGTGTGAGTCCCTTACTCTTTATCACAGAAAATCTTACATATTTAATTTTTAAAAAAATGTTGGTATGTGTTCACCAGGGAATCCCCAGGGCCCAGAAAAATGCTTGGTACATAGGGCTTTTGTTAAATATTTGTTTTTAAAGTCAGTTTTTTAAAGTCACCGTTTCCTTATTAATATAAGAGGGATAATAATGCCTATTTTGCTTGATAGTTTTAAGCGTCAGAAATGTAGGGAAAAGTAGTCAGGACATCGGGAAATTGCTGCACGGTGAACCGTTGAAATTCACTACTCAGTTCCATCAGACAGATGAGCTAGACTGACAAACCCTCTTTTCCCTTTCAGGTAAAAAGAGCTACGGGTGAAGAGGCCCAAGAAGAAGTGGTCCCGCCCCGCAGCCTATCATCTCCCTTTTAAGAAGCGCGGAAACTCATCCCCAACCGCAATGTTTAATGTACATAAGTTAGTGCAGGTCACGTGAGGCTCGCGGGCTTGCCCCGCCTTAAAGAGGCGGAGCCTCATTTGGGGGACCAATAGCAGGAACAACCTCCGAAACAGCCCCCAACTCCAGGCAGGGAAAAGGGGGAGGAGCCCGGCGCTTCGGCAGCTGTAAGAGCACTTCCGGACAATACGCTCCGCCCTCTCTTCCCCAGTCTCCGGTCTGCTTATTTCTCCAGTGCCGGGTGGGCTGAACCAGCGGGTCCTGATTAAAGGCGCCGCCGTCGAGTTGCTGCTTTCTCCTCTCCTCCCCCACTCCGTCTCCCTCCCTTGCTGAGTAGCGGGACTGGCCTTGATGTAGCGACACCACCCTCAGCTTCTCTCCGCCCTAGCTCGGGAGTCCAGCGCACCGCAGCCCCCTGCCCGCCCGCGTCCCCACCCTGCCAGCCGCACTCAGCTTCTAGCCCATTGTATCCTCCCCATCTCTGTGCTCAGACTCCGAGGCCGGGCTGTGGCGGGAGCATCAGGGACCCCGGTGCGCCCCTTCAGCCGGTCCCCCGATTCGGGGCCCCTCCCCTGCCTGTCTTCCTTGCAGCATCGCGGTAGTGGCGAGGGTGCCCTCATCTCCCAGCGAAGTCGGAGAGGGCCGAGTGGCGGGCAGAAGGCACTAACTCCCACCCCCATCCCCAGGGGTGAACGCCTCCAACCCCCTCCTCGGCCCCTTTCCTGGGGGAAGGAGAGCCGAAGCCCGAGCGAGCTGAGGCAGGAAAAGGCAGCCTTGGACTGCCCGGACCGCAGATCATTTTTATTACCGAGATTATTATTAAGAGGGGGCGGGGAGCCCAGGATGCGGGGGGGGGCTAGAGACGCAGCTATTTTTATTAAACAGATTATTCCTGAAATAATAATAATATGCGCAAGATGGCTGAAGGCGGCTGTGATGAGAGTGTTGGGCTTGGGGTTTTCTCTTCCTCTTTTTTTTTTTTTTTTTGATCTGAGGATAAAGCTCTG